CACCGTGTAATGATTCTCATTGCTCATGTAACAATGGACCTTACTTTGATCTACTCCTTCGGGGATTCTAATGGTACGGGTAGATTCGCGCACATCGCTATTAAGCTCATCTCCACCAAGGTGTTTTGCATGGATCCTAACAGTACCATCCTTTACGACCACTTTCACTTCGTCGGGGTGGTAGTGGTCCAAGCGGATAGTTTTGCTCCATTTTTCGGAGTTTTTATCAGCCAATGAACGCGGCCAGCAGAGGGCTCTTTACATTACTGGTCACCTGTCTGTATATCGCGCATATCAGACAGGCAAGCCAGTCTAAACTTTCACGTCGTGCAGCGCCACCTATCCTTCCGGCAATGCTATATGATGCATGAAGAGTTGACCGGAGTACCCCAAACTCAACAGCACCCTGCTTTGCACCACAGACGTCGTGAGATACCTCTCGCCTAGGTGGAAATTTAAATGTGTCGGGGAAACCAAAACAGATCACAGAGTGCAGAGATATCGGCCGTTTATATCGTGCACGAAAAAGATCCCTCACTGCTAAATGGCCCTTAGTGCCGAGCGCGTTCAAAAGCTGCATTGGAAAAAATAAACCGTGAGGGATGTTTTGAAACAAATCATAAAAGTATTGACACTAGTTATAATTTGCTTTTGATGCAATCAATCTAACACGGTCACAATACTTTCCACATACAATACAGATATTCCCTTTTTCAGATTTTGTTTAACACAAGTGTTAACATTCACCAGGGACCTATATACTATATACTTAGTATAGGCCTATAGGTCCCTGATTTCACTCACACATTTCGCTTCGCCTGAAGGTATTTTAATTAGCTTGCGAAGCTCCTATCACATTACATACCAGACATTACTTGGATAAACGAAAACTGCAACATTTGTTAATTGAAACTGACACATTTTAAACATTCATCGGTTTATGATGACTCATTGACTCAGCAGATAGCCGTGACTTATCAGTTTATTGTGATTATCTCCCATGCTAGGGCGTAGAGCAGCGGCGATAGATGGCGCATCAATCAAGCCAGGAATTCCTGGCTTAGATGGCGGTAGTCACCTGTCTCTTTCGAACGATAGAGACAGGCAATACCAGTCTACGTGAAAGTTGGGATTTCGCGGGAAAGTGTCCCAACGCATACTACCCTTGAATTACGGCTTTTGACTTGTTCCCTGTAGATTCTGCTGATTTCTTTGGTTGGTAATTTTTGAGTAGTGACCTTTACCTTTATGCAATGACAAAAAACCGGGGAAAATCACAGGTACTTGGGTCTTGGTTTATAAATATGTATGTACCTTATTGATATGTAAAAAAAAGTAAAGGTATGCAGGCTCCGTAATGGCGTCTGCTCAACTCGCTTGTTTACATGGCTTGTTCTTTGAAAACAACGCTGCACCTACCGATTTTTATGCACCGATCGTCTCGGAACACTGATTACTTATTGTAAAAACCCTCACATCTTGCAAATAATTCCTAAAACATGAGTTTTAAACACATTTTCAAACTTTTCGTTAACGTGTCCGGAACTAAGTGCAAATACTAAAAACCGATTCAAAACGACAAATTCCGGCCATTCAGACACTTCAAAATTCTAGAGGCGTTCCGAGAAAACTAAAAATAGTTCTGGGATAATTGAAGTTATATTTAAACGCCATTACTATTCAGACGCCATTACGGAGCCTGCATACCTTTACTTTTTTTACATATCAATAAGGTACTTGCATCATTGTTGCGGTGTTTTTCCTTTGATGTCCACTGTGTTTTTATTTTTGATACACCATGACTAACTGTGCTCTAACAACCATGCTCTATCAAGATAGAACACACCAGGGTAATGATGCAACAATTCCAATGACCCTTGACCTTACATTGATAAAGAAAAAGAATATAAACAAAGTAGCTGACTTTATGAGCAAAATACAAGCACATATAAACATAGTGAAGGTAAATCTTTCCTTAGGTCTACATAAAAAATTCTAAATTTTGCACGTCAATTTTTTTTTTTAAAATCCAAAACGAAATTCACATTTTTATAAATGAATGTTTTCGTCTCTCATAAACTTGAAGCGTAACAAACCACACACAATGTAGTACAGGGAGCGAGGTGGATATTCCTTGTTTTCTAATTCCAACACAAATCGCGGCATCCAGTAATTTAGAGAATCGCTGTTCATCTCGGTCAAAAGTGGATATTTTCCCGTGCCGCACGCCACTCCTTAGCTTGAACATTACCAGGATATTTTTGAGAGTCTATCAAACGCTGAATTTCATAATCGGTCACTTGTACAAACCTTTCATTTTTCGTCTTCGTGTCGACCTCAGGACTGGTGAAATTAACGCCATCGTGTCTAAAATATCTCCTATATCGAAATCCATAATAGGTTCAATTTTTAGTTCCGGTAGATCAAACGTCATACTTCCCAAAGAATCTTCAACCTGCATCTGGTTTCCTAACTGATCTATGGAATTTTCCTTCATAATTTCGGTTTCCGTGTCTATAAGAATTGCGAAAGCATAAAATCACAACCGTCATCCATGGCGTTCAAAATATGAATGGACGAGGTAGAAAGTTCAAGAAATACAGCGCGCTATACTTTTCGAATCACGTGCTCTTTTTTCATTGGTTATATAAAATGGTATGATGAAATTTTGATAGATAATGGCTAATTCAGTGCATGGGAATATGTAGTTGAATTAAGTGCAATTAACGTGAATTTGATAGATCATGGGTAGCTCAATACCCGAGAACAATGATACAAAACATATAGAGTACCTTTTAACTCGTGCATCTTCAGATATCAGACTCGGGGGACAAGCCCCCTCGTCTGATATCTGAAGATACACTCGTTAAAAGGTACTCTATATATTACATACATATTTATAAGCCAAGACCCAAGTACCTGTGGGGAAAATCTCACAATAGTACGGTAATTATCGTCTTTGAAAATCTTGGATTTGCATTTTTACAATCTTATCAATTTATAAGGTTAACGCTAGATGGTACAATGTACAGGTAGGCGAACACGAGTTATCGTTCATAGTACGAGTTATCGTTCATTATGTAGTAGATCTATTCACTCGTACGTGGAATATTCGACATGTGTTAAAATACATGTATACGGAAATAAATGAAATAGTCTTAATTAATATTAATATTCACAGGTAATTTACATTTATTTCACTGGCAATTTACAATTGGTAGTTATATATTAAGTCGTACAAGTAAAAGTAGAAATACTAATCCATATAAACAATGTATCCATTTAAATTAATCATCAAATATGGATAAATTGATGACAAGCGTGGATTTATTCAAATTCAAAATAAAATTCGTTGAACTATATTATTAGATATTTCATTTGTATTTCGATTGATGCAATGTTTATGTGTATTGGGAATAGAAAATCCGCGGGGGAAACATATGTCTAGAGGCTGCTTTAAGATCCCGCCCCCATTTTTACAGCCAATCCAACCCTGATGACCTATGCTCGGCACTTAGGTCCATTGAGCAGTGAGGGATCTTTTTCGTGGCAGCACCTAGTGGGATACGGGACCTCGGTTTATATGGTCTCATCCGAAGGACCGGTCTCCACGTCCCGCAGTGGACCAATTCGAATCCGCGACGTAAGGATCAACTCCTTACTCCGCGACTCTAGAGGAGACGCTCTTACAACTACCACATGCAGGCGACAATTCCATAATTGAAATTTTATCTTCTTTTGATTTCAAAAGTTGTTTTTTTTTTTATTTTCTATTTTACCTGAATGTCTTACTTAGCGCCAAGATTTTATTTTCACACAAAACTCACGGTTTACCTAGGTATATCCGAACGCAATACAGCAAGACATTTGTTAATCTATCAACTTATATTCCTCGTCATTTGCTACTCCCAACTTTTCTAGCTCATGTACATTTCACACTAGGTGATTTCGAGCTATTTTTTCCCTCGAAAGTACAAATATATATATTTCTAAACAATGTACCTAATTTCTCTACCTATTTTTGACAGGTATCAGATTAATGTTAGACATTTGTTTGTTTGTTTAACGCCCCTTCGAGATTGTTCACTCATATTGAGACACCAGCATTTACCGGTGGAAGGCTGCAAATTTAGAACTGAACTTGGCACTCAGGGCCTTTTTAGCAGTGAGGGATTTTTTTTTCTTCTACCGCGACTCGGGACTTCTGTTTATACCGTATCGTCCGAAGAGCCAATCTCTAAGTCCCATGAAGTGAATGGAACTGGGTGTATACATGTAGTTACAACATCTTACAGTACCAGATTTTATGAATACAATACTACATCATCCGTATTTGATCTTTACTGTAACAAAAAGGGGGGTGCAACTGGCCTTTCAAAGAACATTTTCAATAGAAAGGAGTTATGTCTGGAAAAAAGTGGTTAGTTTGTTCATGTATCAGCTAATATTCCTGCAAAAAAGGCTAATTTTCTTACAGACCTATGACAGTCAAATGGTTAATTAAACATAAAGATATAACGCTCTCTCAAAATGTTTCTCCCATGCATCTACGAAGAATGTGCATGCTGAATTCATTTTAGCATATCCTGGAAAATTACGATCTGAAATCCCAGATAAGTATACGCTTCTAATCAAAATACGTTTGCTTTTTACAAGATTAACATGAAAATATAGCCCTGATCGCAGATAATTGTAGCTTGTACCAGCTTAAAAAACTGTACAATATCCACCATTTCTCTACGTGCTTTGGATAGAAACAATATTTATTTTATTAAAAAAAATAATAACCTTGATCCCAGATGTTTTTGTCACCTACCTGTAGTTTCTTCAAACTAATAGTCCAAGACAATACCCTACCTTCTATGGAGAGTCAAAAATAAATTTAACCTGAAGATATGTCCCTGATCTCAGAGCTTTCTCCCACCTACCTGTATAACATTGATACAATGATTTAAACATAACGCTCTTCAATTTTAATAGATCAATATAAAACAAAGTGCTTCGATCTTTCCTTTTTTAATCTGCATAACTTAACATGGAATGAATAGCAAGTAAAACAATTTATTTACAAAATTTCTTATCCACCACATATAATTAATTCATCATTATAAGGCTAAAAGTTCTTTAAAGCAAATAGCAAACAATAATATTTATGCAAAGCAATTAAAATTGCAAGAATGTAAGCAGTGTGTAAATTCAATTAAGAATACGCAAAATTATGACAATTTTTATTCATGAATCAGCTCATCACTGCAGTGGTAAGCTTTTCAGAATTCCACGAATTAACTCTCCAATTTGGGCGCCATGATTGCGACCTTCCCGTCTTTTCCACGGGCAGCCTTGACCTGTTTGTAGTCGACACCCTCGGGAAGAGTGAACTCCTTGCAGAATGACCTGTGCACTTTAATCCCGTCCTCATCACGAGACTCATTCGCAGAAATACAGACGACATTCTTTTTACGAGTAATGTTAATATTTTTGGGATCAAACACGGATAGATCTAAATTCTCTTGGTACGGTCCCTGCTCTGCAACCTGCATGTCCACCTCACTCCCATCAGTAATGGCGGGTACATCCTCCAATTTAATATCAACCTCATCGTCTTCATTAGGAAGCATGGGTCCCTCTACCGTGTAATGATTCTCATTGCTCATATAACAATGGACCTTACTTTGATCTACTCCCTCGGGGATTCTTATGGTACGGGTAGATTCGCGGACATCGCTATTAAGCTCATCCCCACCAAGGTGTTTTGCATGGATCCTAACAGTACCATCCTTTACGACCACTTTCACTTCGTCGGGGTGGTAGTGGTCCAAGCGGATAGTTTTGCTCCATTTTTCGGGTATCTCACGACGTCTGTGGTGCAAAGCAGGGTGCTGTTGAGTTTGGGGTACTCCGGTCAACTCTTCATGCATCATATGCCTAAGCAGGTCCCGAAAAGAACCAGACTGCTGTTGTGCAGACATTGGACGATAGGAAATCGGCATGAAATCCATATTTTCAGTCTATTTCTAATCACCGGTACAAACAAAAAGAAATAGATGCTACAAACCACAAGGTATTACAAGCGTCAGTATGACCACCCTTTTATATAAGAAACGATAACTCGGGACAAAGCAGTTCTGGAAAGTTCATTGATCGCGTTGTTGACTGCCTTCATACGGAGACATGAGAGGGACTTAAAATATTACATAATACAATGTTTTAAAGTGATATCATTTTTTTTAGATAAATTAATAACTAAAAAAATCAAACTTGTATGACGAATGTTTCATTGTTAACTATAACGCTAGATTTTGTCAAATAGAGAGAGAGAGAGAGAGAGAGAGTGAAGTTCTTTTCATGTCATATCCTTCGATCTACCGGAAATTTATGCAATAATAATGAATTTTAATTTATACTTTATTTGGCTATAAATCAGTTTGTATAGCGAGCTGAATTATTAATCAGAATGTGCTTAAACTGGCATTTCATGAAAGTCTGAACTTCACAGTCACCTTACGTATGTGAATTCATTTTAAAATACAAAACATAACATTCTAATATACCGATATACCGGAATGTAGGTGTTCTAGTGATTAAAAAAATCCCAGAAAGCTTGGGGCATCGCCATCCATACGTTAGGCGTCTGGAGTTCTAAATATCAATACTTTTTGCTCATCTTCTAGATTAGCAGAAATGTTTCTAGTTTGTAGGGATTTTAAAATGTCGATTTGTTTAATAAAAATAAAGATTTTTTTTTTCATTATAAAAATCTACTTTAAATTATCTTTATACACAATATAGTTTCTTTTATTTTAAGAGAAAAAAATGCATATGATTTCTAAGTGGATCGTTAAGAAGTTTTTGACAAAATTAGTGTGCCATACTATTCAGAACTTCATATCTTTGTGACGTAGTACTTCGTAATCGGGACTGAATAATCAGCCAATTTTAGTTGTACAGCTATATATAACCGTAGTCCATGGAATTCTTCGAATGTCTTATAAATGTACACTAATTATAGGTGTGTAGTAAAATTTACTTGCACTGTTTCAGTTCAATCTATGTTTTTAAAGTATTTATTTTGTACAACACTGAACTAATTCATCGTAGATCGAGCTGTTGGATTTATCAGATGAAAGAACAATCATCGACCCAAACTCTTCTTTCGGGGTCGATGCACTTTCGGTCATTCACAATGGACTTTCAGTACATACGAACCTAATGAACGAAAGATTACCATACATCATTTTTTTTTAAATGCACGTGACCATGACACTGAAGAGGGGGAGGGGGAACCCAAATGTTTGTACTAAATCCTGCGGCTCAGTTTGAGCTCAGCTTTCCTCATTTAATTCACCTTACACAAAAAATGTTTTATAAAATTGTCTCAACATATTGGAAGTGTACGTATCCTGTTTGTATGAAGTACATGTATACAATTCCACATAATCTTATACATATATGTTATCAAATATTTGTTTTGACAAAATAACATCGATACAATGATTTAAACATAACGCTTTCCAATTCTAATAGATCAACAAAAAACAAGGCGTTTCTTTCCTTTTTTATCTGCATAGCTTAACATGGAATGAATAGCAAGTAAAACAATTTATTTACAAAATTTCTTATCCACCACATATAATCAATTCATCATTATAAGGCTAAAAGTTCTTTAAAGCAAATAGCAAACAATAAAATCTATGTAAAGCAATTAAAATTGCAAGAATGTAAACAGTGTGTACGCAAAATTATGACAATTTTTATTCATGAATCAGCTCATCACTGCAGTGGTAAGCTTTTCAGAATTCCACGAATTAACTCTCCAATTTGGGCGCCATGATTGCGACCTTCCCGTCTTTTCCACGGGCAGCCTTGACCTGTTTGTAGTCGACACCCTCGGGAAGAGTGAACTCCTTGCAGAATGACCTGTGCACTTTAATCCCGTCCTCATCACGAGATTCATTTGCAGAAATACAGACGACATTCTTTTTACGAGTAATGTTAATATTTTTGGGATCAAACACGGATAGATCTAAATTCTCTTGGTACGGTCCCTGCTCTGCAACCTGCATGTCCACCTCACTCCCATCAGTAATGGCGGGTACATCCTCCAATTTAATATCAACCTCATCGTCTTCATTAGGAAGCATGGGTCCCTCTACCGTGTAATGATTCTCATTGCTCATGTAACAGTGGACCTTACTTTGATCTACTCCCTCGGGGATTCTAATGGTACGGGTAGATTCGCGGACATCGCTATTAAGCTCATCCCCACCAAGGTGTTTTGCATGTATTTTGACAGTGCCATCCTTCACGACGACTTTCACTTCATCAGGGTGATAGTTGTCAAGACGAATAGTTTTGCTCCATTTTTCTGGTACCTGACGACGCTTATGTTCCAAAGCAGCTTGTTGATGAGATTGGGGCATTCCGGCCATCTCCTCGCGAAGCATTTGTCTCAGCAAATCACGAAAAGCAGGGGCCTGCTGTTGTGCTGACATTGGACGATAGTAAATCGGCAAGAAATCCATGTCTTTTATCAATCACAGGGACAAAATTTAAAATGTAGTAGGCTACTGAATAAAACAAACTCAGCCTCGCACGGTCGGTGACAGAGAAGCGGAAATACAGTTCAGTGAAAGGACGATAACTCAATCTTCTAGAAAATTCATTGACCGCCTCTGCATCCATTACTCGTGAGAGATGTACAGTTTTTTTATCACAATTTCGGATTTCATGTTATTACATGTATATGTAACATAAGTAAGTGCTAAGTACGAAAAATATAACATAAATGTCATTTTATATACAAAGGACGTGAAAAGTGAGCTTGATATACAGAGCTCTTTTCGCTAAGTAATGAATCTATACATACGAGTTATCTTAAATACGGAATAATTTTTTTTGAAGGTATATCATTCAGCATGAAATGTAATAGAATCACGTTATATTTATATTCAAGCCACATTAAAAAAATGTTAAGAATTTCCTAATACAAGTAAAATCAAATGGTTTTCTCGTTGTCAAAATGAATTTCGTTATCTTACTACGAAAGTCTCATTTGAAAAATAAAATGAAAAGAAAACGAAAAAATATCTAGTAAAAAATCTAAGTTATTTCTCAGTATTACGACATCTTTTCTCGATCTTATAAAAGGAAACGAGACACTTTTCTCGATATTCTTTTTCCGGGTTTTTTTTTATATTTTTTTTTTATTTTTGGTCAAGTGAGACTCCTCGGCTTCGTACCCCCCCCCCCCCCTCCAAAAAGTAAAATAATTAAAGAAATGAAAATTAAAGAATGGAGAAAAAATTAAAAAACAAAAAAAACAAAAAAACAAAAAACGGAAAAAAAAATTAAATTAACCATCCATAGAATTTTGTATGCGCCTTAATAGACCGTCTACTTCAGTAGAAACATAATGATCTAGCACATCTTCGCTAACACCTGTGTCCACGTCTGTTCCAATATCTTGTGGATTTATAATAATCCTCTGTACACGTCTTGTATCTAGATAAACAAAATAAAATCCAAACCATTATAGATAAATGAACAAGCTTGTTATGGAAAAATTAAATAAGCTCTTATATGGAACATTTGCACGGTTTATTTGGTAAAATTTTAAAACAATTTACTTTTCTTATCCCACCATTTCCTGAGCTCCATAGCTCCCATAACTATCAGTGAAAATCCAGGCAACGGCATTGTGTGAATGCTATAATAAAAGATAGTTATTCAAAGAGAAGGGAATATAAGACAATGGAATTATGATAATTGTACTTTAATCTGTACGGTTGTGATAGAACCTCAGACCAAATCTTTCTAGGTCTTGTCAAAATATTAATCGTGTCACTAAGGATTTTGGAAATCATAAAAAAAAAACGAGCAATCATGCATTTTTAATGCAAAATTATACTCACATTCAATGATACGTTTGGCAGCTCTTTGTGTAACACTGTCTGTGGTCCAAAATTCAATATCAAACAGACGAATGTTTCCAAATATCAACGAAGAATTTTTGTTGATATTTTATCAGTAGCGATAGACTAGTTATCCACTACTTACAATGGATTGTGACGTAAAGTGCATTATGACGTCACAATGCGTTTAAAAGCAGCACATTCTCTATCCAGAGTTGTCGTTCTCGCCATGCTTCTGCAAGATTCTTGAACGGTGAAAAATTTTATCACAATCATTTCTAATTATAATAATGATCAATAAAATGTATTTATTCTTAAAATACCAGTATCATCCCTTAAAGAGGTTCGCTCCTGAGCTTTTGAGCATATTTTTGTCTTAACCTATATTTCAAAAATTCTGCATAATGTTTTATTTCTTACAATAAATTTGTTTTCTATAATGCCAATTAAACTATATTCTATTAAAACCCCATGATTAAATTCCATACCAAAAGCATTAAGTGAGGAAGTATATTTTTTGGCAGAAGGTTTTTTTTCAGTAAATGATAATTTTTTCTCTTTCGAAGTATTTTAAGAATGGCTAAGTTTGGATTCCTATTTTTCATGCAGCCTGCAAAGTTATTTTGTGCCTTGAACTGTTTCATGCTGGTTCTAAATTATATATTAAATAAACTGTCATGAATTCTATCATTATATTTGACCAATACAGCAAATATATTGTGAAAATCCAGAAAAAAATAGCCCCAATTTAAGTTTAAAATTAACACAGTTTTAATAATATCTAAAAATAACATCACATACCCCCACTTACAATGTTCTTTTCTGAATATATAAGATACTTTTAACCATTTTTCTTAAATTCAGTAAAATGTTATTACTTTCAAATGATTTTTTTTTGCTTGTTAAAGTTTTAATGCCAGAAAAATGACATTTTTTAGTTTAAACAATATTTTATTGACGAAATTGACAAAGGTACAAAACACACTAGTAATAAATACAATAGAATTGGGAAACAAGCCATGAGGCTTATATTAATCCCTCTTTCTGCAAAGTCAACAAGTGAGAGAACGTGTACGTAGATGAAACCTAACATATTACACTCAGAAAGAAAACGTTTCATACATATATATTGTGATCAGTTTACTGGAATTGAAATCGCTGAAAAATCTCCATAAATTCCTAATTTTACATAACAAAGTAAAAATTTACCTCATTCATGCCACATCACAAATAAAATTTCAACTGAACAAAGATGAGGCCGAATAATGTCTCGTGGTAACAGGCGCGGATCCAGGAAATTTTCCAGGGGGGGGGGGTTCCACCCCAGTCAAATAAAAATAAACAACCAGAAATTTCCTGACAAGCAAAAAAGCAAAACAAAACAAAACAAAAAAACAAACAAAAACAAAACAAAACCCAAAACCACTTTCGCAAATGTGATAAACCAATTTGGGGGGTAGGGGGGGTAGTAGTTGACTTCTAAAGCTTCAGTACCTATGACTTTTCATACCAACTTAACACAGATCCCCGATTTCCAGGGGAGGGGGGGGGTCCAAGGTCACTTTTACTTGGTTTAGTATATACATTTGATAATTTTGCAAATTCCGGACACCCCCCCCCCCAACCAAGATCCGCGCATGGGTAAAAAATATCAAGTGATGTGTCTTTAAAATCTTTTGCTTTCAATCAGAAAGTTTTGAACTATAAGAAAATATTTTGGTTTTCCCTTTCTGAAAGATTTTGTGAACCATAAAGTAATATATCGACAGTTATATGATGAGGTATTGTAAGAATAGTTCTATTTCGCGCTCTTATAAAATTGTTACAATGAAAGAAAAAATGTTCGATAGTTTCAATCTCCCTACATGAACACAGTGGAGAAATACAAGTATTATCATTAGGTACATTTAAGGAATCACTGTCTAGTTAGTAGAGTATGCCAGGGCATCAACGATAGTTGGAAACGTGGGATAATTTGCATAACGGGCGATAGTTGGAAACGTGGGATAATTTGCATAACGGGCAAAGCCCGTTATGCAAATTATCCCACGTTTCCAACTATCGTTGATGCCCTGGCATACTCTACTAACTAGACAGTGATTCCTTATATTTCCATTTCATTGTGAAATAAAATTGTAAATTTAGATTTTAAAAATGTAGACTAATAGATTTAAATTACACAAGGCCTCACATGTCAATTTCAACAGTCCCCGCCCACTGACGTCAAACACAAAGACAGCCGCACGAGAATTACATGCATAGGCCTCCTTAGAGTCAGACACAAAGACAGCCGCACGAGAATTACATGCATATTAGGCGTTCTTGGCTCCTGACCCATCGCTTGGCGAAATTTGCATTCCGGTAGAATGATCAAGAAATTCCAGAAGGTGACGGAGTTAGTAGTGAGGGGGTTTGACGATATATTTGCTTTTTTGTTTTGTAATTTCCAGTTTGTTTCAAAAACGCTTCCCGCTACTGACTAGATACACGTACATGTTCAGTGTACCTTGAATAACTGTATAAAGTAACAAACACAAAATTTATGGTTAAGTTATAGCATTTAATCCAGTTTTGTTCATGTAAAATCTTAAAACACATTTAATTATAATCTCTCAATGAAAATTAATGTATTTTGCACTTGCAGTGACTTTCTACATGTATAATATTAAAAGAATCATTGTACAATACATGTATCCCAGTACATGATTGATTATACATATACAGTAAAATATGCTTATAACGAACACGCTTATAAATGAATTAATGCTTATAGCGAAGTGATTTTTATTCTCCATGACTTTAAAATATATTGTAAACTTAATGGATATAATGAATTACAGTTATAATGAAGCAAAATCGTCTATCCCTGGCACTTTGTTATAAGCGGGTTTTACTGTACATGTACATGTAAATACTTACACTAACATACTTGTACATAATAACATTGTTGTAGACTAGGGAGCAAAACTACAAGCACTTTTAATATACAAGAATCATCATTAAAATTGACACTAAAAATGAGGTAATTCTTTACATAACACTGTTATCTGTAAATACAATACTACCAAGAAATGATTACTCTCTTGTTTAAGGTCAGATGACACATTCCTCAATAATATATAATGTTTTCCAAGAATTTGTCATTGAAGTATTGCTACTTTAACAAGATTTCTCACAAAAAATTAAGGTACCTTACCAGGCATTTGTGCAAGATACCAGAGGATGCTATTTACTATATAATCCTAATGGAAATCACTAGCATTGCCAATATCACAATTTTTTGGTATCTTTCATCTACTTAAAGATTTTAAAAACAGTTTAAAAATCAAAAGACAATAATACTTATGATTAATTTGCTGTAATACAAAACAGATATTAGAGCAACATGTCATCAGACCTTAATGAAATACACATACATACTATCATTGCACTACGTTGCTATAATGAAATCTTACAAATCAAATTTTTTTTTACATAAATATCACAGTCATAATGTTATGCTAAATTTCAACATTTTACATTAAAACAATACAAATACAATGGAATGTGGTTTCAAATTGAATAGCACTTATTAACTCACAGCAGTACAATAAGTTTCAAAGTTTTACCAGTGACAATTGGAATCTATATGACAACATTCATTTGACAAAATCAATTTCATACCTTTATAGATGTATATTACCTGAATGATGAGCCATCATAGAGTGGTAGAAGTAACAGGATGTAACCCATGTACAAACACAGTGGGAGGGAGATTTTCTGACAACATTTTCAGGCTGTTTAGATAAGTTTCATTATCCCTGGATTCAGCGGGGGGTATGGGGAGGTACAGAAAACTTACTGCAGTGGTGCTGGAGTAAGAAATAATCATTTGGTTAATTGCACTGATGAATTCTTCTGGTACTGGGTGGAATTTCTCCATCAGGTTAAGTTTTCCATTGCTGTTACCTGACATGACAGGTAGATGTTGTACCAGGTGATCCCAGGTAACGATTTTCACTGAAGCTTTAATCCTGAGCTGCTGAAGAAAGCAGTCTAGTTTCTGCTGCTTTTGGAGAGTGTTGTCTGTCTGTGCATTTAAACACAAGAAAACTCTTAGACTTGTTTTGGACTTCCAACCAGGTACCATGGTTAGAATACAGGCCAGTTGTAGCATAAAAAGACAGGTATTGTCAAAGAAGTTGGCAGTGTCAGGGCGGAAGAGATTCACTGGCCAAACATCAATGAAAAGTTGCTTCTTGGAATGTACAATGGATTGCTTACTTAACTGATCAAAATGTCTGCATAAACACACATTCTTCTGCATTTTTAATGAATCAGAAATAAGTTTAACATACTCTAAAGAAGCTAAATTTCGAGGATCACCCTCCCCTCTGACATTCATGAACAGATTGTCAATGCTTTCTTTTTTACCACTTTCCAAACGTGTAAAAAAGCGTCGCTTCCTTCCAGCACTTTCAACGCTCAGCATATCCTTAGGTTTAGCATCATCTAGAAACCCAAAACAAACAGTATTAGGTTTCATGCCTCCCATTCCAGACAACCTCAGCAAGTGCTGGAGACCCTCTGAAACAGAATTTGCCATGGTAACCTCCACGAATGCCTTCACTTTGAGATAGTCTATCAGCCCCATCCATTTTGAATTTTCCTCCAGAACTGGATCTTTGGGGTATGAGTCTAGAGACCCTAGCTTGACATGGCCAATCACATACAATCCACCTTTCTTGATGTCGTTAATGAAGTGGATGAGTTCTGAACACTGGCGTGGATTAGCCACCATCAGTAAGATCTGAGGACGCCAGTACTTAACGTGGGCCTTCCTTGAATCCAGCATCAGCAGGTATTTTCTTACCTACATATATAACAGTTCATAGTTCATATTTCAAAAAATTAGTTTACCGAACATCAACTAAGTTAGAATTTACAAAATAAATTGAAGTTTATTTCCCTAACAAAAACTGAATCTAAATTCATTTATTGCAGAATTGATCTTAGAAAAATTTTCCACTTGAAGTTGCCAAAAATAGTTGTACATGACTTAATGTAAAGTCTTCTGACCCTTAATCTGAAGAACGCAACCTATCTAGTAAAATGATGTACACTTCCATATGTAGAGAAATTTATCTGAATGTATCTGAACATTTTGATTGGTAGAAATCTTACCTCTTTGTGTACAATGTATCTAAACATTTGAATGGCAATAAACTTTACCCCTATGTGTATCAGAACAATTGATAGGTAAAAACTTGACCTCTATGTGTATTGGAATATTTGATTGGTGAAAACTTGACTTTATAAAAACACACATGTAGATATATTTGCTATATCCTCACCTGGTGGAAAATAAGAGCCTGGCTAATGGAGCCCCACTGTGTCGGTAGTGACCGGAAGTGAAGGATAATGGCCAGTACAAGCATCACAATAATGGCGGCTGAGGTGTAGATGGGACTGATCAGAAAACACATCAATATACACCCTATCAGACCAAACACACAGGTGTACCAAGTGAAGTACTTAAAGGTGGGTCTAAAAATTAAAAAAAAAGTTTTCCTTATTTCTGAAAGGAAATATTACTCATTGATTATCCTTCCCCAAAACCAAACAAGAAGGAACTGTGAGTGAGCTCACAAAATGATACTCCTTGCTGACACAGTTTCAGCCATAAGCTAACTTTGTGCCAACTATGAGCTTACAATATCCCTCTCGTACAAAGATACGGACCTGATAAGGATTTTAAATTTTATTCACTTTCTGCTATTGACTTGACATCGTCTAAATGACTCTGAGTCAGTCACATCATGTCTTCAGGTCAGAAGCTATCTTTTCCACATTATGAGCTTTCAATGTTTGTCTTTTACCAAGATAGGGCCCACAAAGGAATAATCTGTCAGTGACCTTAAACTTGTTCAAATGATCTTGGGTCAAGCTCACCTCATACTCTGTCATAAATATTCTTTGCGTTAAGTATGGGCTTTCAGTGTTTCTCTGTTACAAAATTATGAAACAGAAAAGAAAATTCAACATTTTCCTACCAGTGTCCTTGAACTTGCCCAAATGACCTTGAATAATGGTAATGACTTATCCCTAGGCTATAAGCAGTAATTGATTGATATATAAGCATCCAATGTTTCTCTCTAAGTTAGGGAAGAGACACAAATTTTACAGCTTTTCTGCAAATGACCTTGACCTTACCCAAATGACCATTATCAAAGGTAGAGCACACCTTCAGGTAATGGAAAAAACCTTCTTGTTTCTCATATCATAAACAATCTTTGTAATAAGTATGAGCTTACAAATTCCAGACAAAATTGCATGAACAAACACAGAGACAAAGTGATTCTTATATACTTCTTCTACCCCTCATTTTCAGGGGGTATAAAAATGGTTCAAATTCCCACTGAGACCATATATTAATGAGCACCTGCTACCTGGAGATGAAGCAATTATCAGTTATCTCCCTTTCTTTATACAAAACTTGTTTTAGAAGGATATTACAGTTAGCAAACAACATAGTAGGTGCATATACATAAATATCATGAGAGAAAAGAAATAAGATAATTCAGAAACTTCTCTGCTCTGGAGTACTAATACCCTTACCTGAAGTTAGGTGCTGAAGCTAGCTCCAGGGCCAGACATGCTAAGTTCACTGAGGCATAGGACATGAGAAAGAACACAGAGGTGGCAGGGGCTATTGCGTTAAGTGAACCTACCAGCAGTACCAACTAGAAAAAAAAGATTACCAACTATTATTCTCAACAACTTTCTTCATGATTTGTCAGTTTAAAATATATCCTCGAAGACTAATGTTCGTGACTGAGGAATTATTTGAAAAACATAAATGATGAAATAAATAGTTTGTGGCAAGAACTATTTGCAAGGAAAACTAGGTAGTGAAACTTGGGGATATTTATAGCAATACATGTACTGAAGATTGCTCTTTTTTTTTTTTAAAAAACCTCTCGTTCCTTTTTGAATTTTATTGTAACAAGAAAGAAATGCACTTTTATTTTCATTGCACTAGTGCTCTTCTTCTGGCAATCTGTGTTAGTATGAAAATGATCACTTACTTGTACAAGAAACCATGATATAAGAACTGCAACATAAGGATTCCCTGACTTTGTGGTGATGGATGCAGGATTCAGAACAAACCCTGAAAAAAACAATTTGCTTTAAGCAGAAGCAGATGAATGCAACAGGATTCATGGAATTGTGTATTTTCCAAGATTGCTTCAATTTTTTCAAAATAAAAATAGAACCCACAGAACAAATGATCATTTGCCAGGGCCTGTAGAATCCTGGAGGCTCCAATAAGGTTACCCAAAGCAGCAGATAAAGTGGCAGCAAATATTCCTATCAAAACGAAAGGTTTCCAGAGGTTGATCTCTTGTAGAAAAATATAGTTGTTCAGCAGAAGGCACCTGTAGAAGAAAATTACCGGTAACTTTTGCGACTGTAGCTCTACTGGTTTGTACATAAAATACAGAAAGAGAAAAGATGCACCTGGACCTCAGTCACTTTGGATTTACAGAATTACAGTGTATATAATTCATGGTGTGTTTCAACTATGTTCTATTGAAATCGAACCAGTAATTTTCTAAGAGTAACACTTTTAAAGATTTTCACAGATAGTCCATTTTTAGAAAACATGGCAACATGGCATCACTTTAAGCTGGAGTCTCAGAATAGCATAAAGAGTCAGATCAAAACTGTAGGAGGATAAGCGTTTTGAAAGAATTTCACAGAAATTTGATATTTTAGTATGAAACACAACACAGGAATCAAAAGTTGATAAACTGATGTCATATATAGTCTATCTTTGTGTCATTTACTTGTAGGTATTTGAAATTCTATTGAGACGGAAACTCTAAGAGACATGGCTATCTATCTAAAGAAATTTTAATTGTAAGTGACTATGGCAAAACCAATAGTCAAAATGAAAAACTAATTACTCAGAATAATGTTCTCTATTGTAATCTACTTGTGTACCAACTTTTATTGAAATTAAACAAAACTGTAGCAGAAGTGGAATTTGAAAGAATTTAAAAGAAATTTCTAAGCTTAGTATCCAAGGCAACACTTTCTCTTGAAATCAAAATCACAAAATTAAAAAAAAAAATATTTTGTTGTAATCTATTTTTGTTTCAAGTAAAACTTAAATGGAACAAAAACTGTATGAGGAGTATCATTTTTAAAAATTGTTTACAGATAGACATATGGAATGATGCCCCTCTTTCCATCTTATAAGCTCTACTGGTCTTTAACTAGTAGAGCTATAAACATAAAGAAAATTACATGGAACACATAAGAATTGCACATGGTTTCAGTAAATCACCATGAAGATCAGACTGAAATAGCTTTAATATTTTATCCAGTCAATAATTTGAGTTTTTTTTTTTGAACCGATGGCAAAACTATTAATTCGAGGTATAAATTCATTATACTTGTGTTCTCTATAAACTTGCATTATTTACAATAGCATAAAAAGGATTATCTTTGCTCTTACAATATTATTCACCTGAAGTAATGTTCAACACACAAGTGATTTGGATATCTACCTATCACATGAACCTCCAACCAGAATGATTTCAATGAAGTAAGTTGCAAAGGTAAACATCACAGCATACAGTGTACCCTTGGGTATAGCTTTACTCGGGTCTTTTAATTCTCCTACAGAAAGATAAAAAGATTCTCTAGTTTCAGTTTTCAACTTAATTATGTTCCCCAAATGAAGTTTGGGAACATATTGTTTTTACTCTGTTTCTTATTAAATTAATACCAAACAGTCATGGTGATTTTTTATAAGTAAAATTGGAAATATAATAAAGAAAAAATATTTCAAATGTAGTTTGCCAACATAAACAACTCAAGCCTTATTTATTACTGTTTTGGATCAAAACAATTCTTGGGTATGGGCAGAACACTGTTTTAAAACTGAAGTAAATTCCGTTTATTGACAGATTTAAAACAGTTTAATGCTAAAGGCAGGTAGTTCAGTATGTTTCACCTATTCATCAGATTGGGTGTCAAGTGTTGTCATTTGTCTTTCAACATGAAATATTTGGAAAATTTTTGTTTACATGCATGGTTATGAACTGCATCTTGATATATTAGTACATGTTGAAATTAATGTGAACGATATTTTTTCAGAATCAAATGTATTTTCAATTTAAATCACACTGTCAAATAGCAAAAAATTATGGACCATTTCACATCAACATAATAATGATATAAAAATGCACAAATTCAAAGCCATACATAACTCTTTTTTGTGTTTTGATTTTAGTGATGACTACTGACCTGACATGTTTGCACCATTTAGAATTCCTGTCACACTGCTAAACAAAATGGCGAACACAGAGGCAAAGGTCATCATGTCCTTAGATGTGTAATCCTTCTCATAATGTGCTATAAAATTCAAAGAATTTGATGCTAAATAATTCTTATAAGAGTCTTATTTATGTTTTAAAATCTGCAATTGAAAATTTTCAAAACAGTAAAATTTTCAAAACAATAAAGCAATTTCCACTAAAAGCTAACTTTATTCTTATCTAGTAATATTGCAACAATCTTAAGACCGCGGAACATTAACTGGCAAAATTGGAAATATGCAGCTTACGCCATTTTCATCTGTTACAGTCAAAACAATGAAATGGGCGGGTACAATTCGGCACGGACGTCTGCGAAAACATTGGATTGAAATTGCAATTCGAAATTCATTTTCAATCCATCTCAGCTACGCTAGAACGCACGGTGTTACTGATTGGCACAGAAGACAAATAATTTGAAATATGTATAAATCAGAATTTTCTATCCCATGTTTTTAAAGAAATATAAAGGGACAAATATTTGATTTCTGTTTGGTATATGTGTATTGGGTAGTTGGGGGTTTGGAGGGGGGGGGGCTGAACGATCTTGGAAATGAATAATTAAGAACGTTTTATATTAGTTTGGACAACCCCTTCCTGTTTTTGTTGGTCAAACATTTTTCAGGGAAGAAAAAACTAAAAAATAAAAGCTCTTGTCATCCTAGAAATTAATATATTCTTCATGTGAAGACATGATCTGACTCGACAATTTTTGACACCCCCACTTTCTAGAATCTCCTGAAAAAATAATCTCTGTATTCTAGGACTTTGACGTGTCCTTAAAATTATAGGCTAAAAAACTCATATATATATGAATTTCAAACAATATGTATTTGGGAATTGAATTTATTTGTCTTTTGAATCATACATTCACACTTAAGGTTTGAAAACAGCTCAGATGGATTGAAATTGAATTTCAAATTTTTTTTAGTGAAGAAAATAAATAATGTCTTTTGTCATCCTACAAATATTTAATATATTCTTTCATGTGAGACATAACCATAAATAATCTGATTCGACAAAATTTGCCAGCCCCCCCCCCCCCCCAACTTCTAGAATCATATGGTCTTCCCCTAAAAGAATATACATATAGCTATATCTTCTATAACTTTTGTTTGTCCTCAAAATAGAAAATTGTTATACATTAATTTCAAACTATACGCATTTGGGAACTGAAATTATTTGTCGTTTCAATCATACATTATAACTTTGCGAAAAAAAGCTCAGGTGGATTGAAAATGAATTTCGAATTGCAATTTCAATCCAATGTTTTCGCAGACGTCCGTGTCAAATTGTACCCGCCCATTTCATTGTATATCATCAAGTGTTTGACTGTGACAGATGGAAATGATGTAAGCTGCATATTTCCAATTTTGCCAGTTAATGTTCCGCAGTCTTATTATTTTTGATAATACAGTGTAATGCAAGACAATTACGAAGTCAAAAAACTTACAATATGCATTATCATGGAATGTAGCTGCCCTGAGTCCAGTGTAGTTTGCTGAATCTTGTACAAAACCACTGGCATTGACCTCATAACAGAACTGAGATACGTTTTTCCTCTCGTGAGTATGTTTTGCCTGTTGTGCGTATTCTATTGGTGTCGTAGAATTTTTGGCAAACACACTCACAATCACAGACAGAAGGCATATCACAACAATCTACAATACATATTTGGACTAATTACATTTATTTAACATGTACATGAAGCAATTTTATATATTTTTTAACGATCTTTCTATTTTACATCAGATGCAGCACTCTCACTATGAACAGTTACAGTCTTATTTTCCCAGTTGATATAATTCTGGGTTTTTTTTCTACTTCACTTTATTTTAACCTAATTAAGGTGTAATTATATAATTAAGTGTTCAGTCATACACATACATGTACCAATGCAGGGATCAACATTAACGGTTGTCCGATTGCCCGGGACAAGTAAATTCTCAATTCGGGCAAGTGAAATTGTCGACATACTTGTCCGATCGGGCAAGTGAATTTTTTTCATACAAATGTACATATTTATTTAGTTTACATTAATTTATAAATAAAACAATAAATTGAACACTTGATTTCCGCCACGCACCTGACTGACAATGCTTTTGCATTCGAAATTCCTTGGTAGCATTTCTGCTGGATTATATACCGTTCATTTTAAATTTGAGTTCGTTGTTTTCTTTCGTAGGAAATACGCTCTACGTCTAACAAAATTTTGTTAACTTGTTAGGAAATTAGATTATTCATGCACAGAATATAGGTACAGTGTAACACTTTGTATCCTGATCAAGGTAAGATGTATGTTTCGTAGCAACTATCTTCCTTAAGCGTTGCTTCACAGTTAATGCTGAAAATCACGAATCACAGAATGATCCTATCGCAAATAATTTTCAAAATATGATTTTTTTTTTTTAAAAGGAAACGGAGGGTTATTGCCGCATGGCAGTGTGTGTTAACAGGTTAAATAATGTACAAATGCAGGATCGAAATTTTTTGCTGGTACCCAGTAGCTCAACTTGCCAAATTGACAGTAGTGTATTTCTTCACATTTGTTCTTTTCAAAACGTTTGCAGTAATTAATAATTGTCGCTTTAAGTTCCATGTCTATCCCTGCAATGCATGCATGTTTAATAAAATATTTAAACAAATGTTCTCATTATGGTAGAAAATTTTATTTTTTTTTTATAGAGTGGTAAATGGAATGTCAATTAAAATCTCTAAGTGCATGTACTTAAACATTATACAAAGTACTTAAATCTACTTTATATGATTATAAATGATACAGATGTAAATATAAACAATTAAAATGTCTTCCTTAGCTTGTTAATATGGGAATTAATGGTTGGAGCCATTCCAGAAAAATTAACTAAAGCACAATGTAAATTACATAAATGGGTTATGTGCTTTCTCTGAAATAGCCACAATGTTAATTCCCATACAAACAAATGTAATTGTTTAATGGAACACATGAAGACATACTCATGGTACTGGTATATGTACTTTCACCAGTATAAAAATAAATGCTTTCAGTTTAAAAGATGTGAATTTCCTATTTCCGTTTCATTTCTCATCACAAAAAAGGAAAAATGAAATGCAGACATGTACAGGAAATATAATTCTTAAAGTGTAAACATGCACAAAATCTTGGTACTATAACTATGCCAAGTTTCGAAAATCATTCTATGGTGTACTTCCCATCAAAGACATCACGGAATGATTTTTGCGACATTAAACTAATGTAATTAATGTTAGTTGATAAAACTTTAAAGAAACAGAGCAATTGATATCCTGTAATGTTTTAAGGAAATCACCAGGGAGTGAGAGATGAAAGTGTATGTGTAAAACTAAATACTTCAAATAGAAATCCTGGTATGTTGTTTTCCATAAACCATTTACTAACAATACTTACCAAAAATATTAACAATGATGTTTTGGCAAACATGGCACCTCCAACAATACAGATTCCCAGACACACAAAGAGGACTATCGTACAATATAGGTACTTGTACCAGAAATCATGGTCTCCCTTTAAAAATGGCTGGTCTACCATGGTCCCTATTAATCATGAAAAAAGAAATCTGGTTTTTTACTTGTCTTAGAAATATTTAAGATAAGTGATCAATTTCTGCTGTAACAAACTGAATTTACACTTCAAAGAGCAAAAATAAGCACTAATGTCCCAACTTAAAAACCAACGATGAAGTGGACAAACTGAGCCAAAGTCTCTTGTTTTGTACTGGAATTAAGTCATATATAGCAATGATACAAATGTGCATTAAAGTATTACATGTAAATAATAGTTCATGATAGTTAGAGACTGGCCATTTCAAACAAGTAATTGATTAATGTACAGTTTGGTGAAAATGTCACACTCACAAGAATTACCGGGTATGTATAGAAACCAATGCAAAGTCACTTAATTTACAATTGATCATTGATTACCTCCAGGTCCAAAATTCTCAATCATGGCTTCTACAAAACCAGTGACATAAAGACCCACTGCTAAAACATTGGCCACAAAGAATAGAAAACCAATGCTTCCTCCAAATTCAGGACCCAAAGCCCGGCTTATCATATCTGACTCGGGATAAGGAAGTAGTCAGCAAATGTTCTTCTAGTTTTCTTTCATACTCTGCAGGAATTGTGTTAACTAGAAATGTACCCAATTAAAATACATGTATTGTTTAACATATTCATTCATTTAAACAATTTTCTTCATCCAGGAATGTTACGTGGCAAGTTTGGCTAATATTCATGATATTGGTCCAGTAATTGTGAAGAAGTTGAAAATGTGAAAGGTTACAGACAGATATACAGATGAATACAAATGCCAAAAATAAATTAAAGGAACTTTTGGTTCAGGTAAGAATGGAATAATTCAATACATTTTTTCAAAAGTTTTTTTTACTTGCCTCAAACCGATCTGCCATGTTAACATTCAGAACTCTCTGAATTGTTCATACTTATAGCCCCTGTGTATTTTGCTAAATTGCTAACCCAAACATGTACAGAACAAATTTTCTATTGTTAAACTGGATGCATAGGACATTATCATTCTATCTATACATGTACTAGATTTGCTGTGGTGCCTAAATTTATCATTTGATATTGTGACCATTTCAAATGTTGACAGTCCATCAAATGCTTTAGCACTTGTAAACATTTGTAAGAGTCCCAACTATTTTTAAATGTTTTTAAACTCAAGTGCAGTAAAAAAAAAATTTGAGTGTTCTTAAACAATTGAGGATGAAATAAATTCTCAAGGATACAGTAGGCTCCACCTCCTTCTAAAGCCCCATTGGTTGATATGGCACTGATTGACAGTACTGTCATCACCAAGATAAAATAGGCTAAAACAAGCTGTAACACTGCTTCTAGAATCCCTGCCTGGCCAACCACAAAACCTGCAAAATAATATACATAATCACTATGTATTAAATCATGTTAGAAAAAAGACTTCTCAGTACCCTATCAAGTTCATATTTTTTCTACATTTGCTTTGAAATATCATACTTTATACAAACATTTTGTTAAACAACCTTCAATTACAACACATAACACTGTTCCTATGCATTGATATTTTAGCTTAGCACATTAAAAAACTTTAAAACCTGTTTTTATTTCTTTTTATATCAGAACCATTTTTTTCTTCATTTGTTTGGGTTTTTTTTTTTGGGGGGGGGGGGGGGGGGGGGGCTGGTCAATGCTCAAGTATTATTTTGACATTAGAAATATATGTTTCAACAAAAAAAAAATTAAACTAACTTGGCTATCCATCCAAGGGTTCTTTGTTATATGATAATTTGCAATTTTCAGAATCACATTCATTTTACTTAGAAAAGGAATATCCAGAATTTGCAGACTTTTTTTTTTTTTTAATAATTTTATTTGAATTTCTTTTTTTTTCATTTTATTTGAATTCTTGCATTTTAAATCCAAATAAGTACAAAATTATGAACCTTTTCACTTTTACCTTTGCATAAATTAATGCTTGCACATGTAACGGAAGTGTGTTTTTATATCTGACAGATGTGTGAACATGATTTTTATTATCCATTCCTACTGTTTAAAAAAAAACCTAACGGAGTAAATGTCTTTATCATGGAATGAATTTCTATTTGTGCACTACACATTCCATGGTGGGCTAGCCAATGTACACTCTGATCAATATTAACATGATGAACAAAATCTTTCATCAACATTTTGAATTACATGTATCTTCAAAATTCTTAAACATGTTGTCATTGTCTAAATGCCACTGTTCATAGTTAAAAATTACCATGATTACATAAAAACCATTTATACAACAACAGGAATTGTGGAAGGCACAATGACCATTGTATGTTGACAACTTGACATATAGTACACAGACTTCGCCGCCCATGAACGCCTCAGCCCATCACATCTAACACCTCAGCCCATCACATCTAACACCTCAGCCCTGACAGGTTGGCCCAAGATTACTGACACCTAGCCCATGTAAAAGACATCTCGACCCAAGCAAAATTTTATGACAGATTGGTCTGTTTGAGAATAAATATGATTACATGAAGGGGGGGGGGGGGGGTATGATATTGTTTCATTTCTCTAAACTATAGAAATTTAGATCAAATCAGATCAGTCTTGAACTTACATATCTATTTCTTATAGAAGATACCCAATATATACATTAAAGTAAAATTAAATTTCAACATAACTGTTTCTTCCAATCTAATATTTACATCCACTGAATATTATCTCCTTCATTTGTCATTTATCAGTTAGTAAACACTGCTAAACATATCACCTCTACAGAGTTCTTGAGCAGTGGCTCTTCCATCAATGAAACATACAATGATGTACAAAACAATTATACAAAATTTAATCTACTTGATCCTGCTTTAAATGATTATTTATACAGATATAAATATAAACAATAAAATGTCTGTTTTTGTTTGTTAGTATGGGAATATTAACGGTGCAGCTATTGCAGAAAAAAATTACATAACCCGCACTTTTTCTGTTTAAATAATTTTTTTTATGAAAATATATGATAGATAATTGTCTAACTAAATCAGATTGGTCTACATCTATTTCTTGGGAAAATGCCCATATACATTTAATATATTAATGTAATATGAAATTGAATGCATGTGTATTAACAAAGCATTTCTTAAAATAATCTTTTTTTTTTGTTTTAAATAAGAATTGAATTATCCTTTTGCATTGTTTTTCTGACATTCTGAAGCACTGAGATGGGTTGATAATTCATGAAAAGATATGTGAACTTCATTGTTAATTATGTCTCAAAATATTCCCGTAATTAACCCCTCATTGTCACCAATGACATGCACCTGTAAAAGTGCCAAAGCATCATGTTTGTTTATCAATTAACATTCTAATTGTCTTCTCTTTCCTTTATTATCATCAAGTAGTGTTATATATGCTTTGCAGACCTGTCTTAAATATTAGGCTGACCTATCTGGGCCGAGGTGTCATCGAGCCTATATGTCCATGGGCCGAAGTTTCGTTGGACTGAGGTGTCTGGCATTCCATTTCATATTTACTAGATATTTGTCAACTTCCTGAATCAGAATGAATTTAATCATGTCAATCTTGAAAATATCCATTTCAGTATAATCATTTCCTAATCTCAACTGAGATTCGACTTGGCTGGATATTTGGACTGATGCTGTCGTCGGCACAAGTCCAAATATCCATGCAGCTAAGTTGAATCTCAGTTGAGATAAAATCATTTCTCTCTTCCATATTGCCCAATCTAATTAAAATTAGATCCTTTATGTTCCTGTATTTTGTTATGTCGCAGAGACATAACAAAGTACAGTCCTGAGTGTAAAGGATTTAATTCTAATTAGATCGTTCCATGCTATGGGGTGATCTTTTTCAAATTCTGATTAAATCATTAACCGTTAAAACAATTTATTGTTAAAAAATCAATATAATTGTTAGCATGGTTATCTTAATTGTAGTCCTGGTTATTTGAATTAAATTCTTTACATGCCCTGTTGACAAACCTTCTACAGATACCTGATCTAAGGAACAGGAAAGTACTGAACATTGACAAGGCCACGGGGCAAAATACTCCGGCAAAGAGTCCAAGAGTTCGTCTCGTGGCCCGTGCCTGTATTTTGGGGCCCACGGCATCATTCCTACTCAGACTTCGACTGAGAGCCCATACTTCATCACCATGATCACGCTCCGAAGAGCTATTGGAGTAAGAGGAACTCGGTAACAGTGGCGAGCTCTCTTCCATTTTCTCTGGCGTTAACACTTCTCCATTAATGGAATATGACTGTGACATGGCCTTGAGAATTTAAATAGATTCATTTCTTTTTCACTTCATATCAGTCAGCTGTTTTCACAATAATTTGTATATTCTCTCACGTGACACGGAAGTCACATGATTCGTCCTAAATGCAGAGATAGAACAACATGGTAGAAGGAAGTATATTTCCCGTCAAAACAAAACAAAAAAAAACAAAAACAAAAAAAAACTTCTCCTCTGTGTTTTTCACTTTTGGTTATGTTTATACGTATTTTGTCAGAAATAAAAACTACCGGTTTAAACTACAGATATTTTAGATATGAATGATATCAACAAATTGATACACACCTCCATATGTTCAACGTTCAAGGACAAACGAGGAATGAACCTACAGTATGAACAGATGAAGAGTGCGTTGAACTGTAAACAATTTCTACTGAAAACGAGTTGATTCACCCATCGAACTTTTATTTAACAGTGTTTTGCCCTCCATTTCAATTTAAAATAGTTTACTTTAGTGCCGAGGAATCACCCGTTCTACAGTTTAAATAATTTAGAAAAAAAAATCTGCATATTAAATAATTTAGAAAAAAAAAATCGATTTTCGCATGTGATCATTTTTTTTTTAGTTTGTTTCATCTTTTGTTTTTGTTTTGTTTATTTTTTGTTTTGCTTGTTTCTATTTTTTTAAATGCAATTACTTGTCGTTGGCACAAAAGAGAAAAATAGATTTTACGCAGACTTACAGACCATAATATGTACATGTATATTTTAATAGAAAATACATTAAGACTTCTATTTTTAATTAATCTCATCATAACATCTCTAGCGTTTGGTTATAACCGGCACGAAACAGCCAATTATTCTGCTTGAAATACCTGGCCAAAGAAAAAATTGTAAATTTAAAGTTTAATTGACTGTGAATTTTTGAATCATATTTAGTTTTATTGCTGGATATGTCGCACTAAGATCCACAAACTGGAGAAACATGCGTGGGTAATATTCATTATCCATGCACATGTACACGTGGGATTAAAAAAAAAATTAAATAGAAAAAGAAGAGGATCTTGACTTTTATTTTATTGACTGGAAGTTCTACTTTTCATGACAAATACTCATGTCATCTTTTGATTTACTATTACACATCGAAAAAAAATGTTCAAATACATTTTGTATATTTCTATATAATTTAATTCTGATTGTAACGCACCATTTGATTGGATAAAAAATTTACTTTAAATCGTATAAATTGGGTTGCCTACGTCACAATTACGCGCGTCAAAAAACGTATCGATCCGCCTGACGTAACATTTAAATTTTGTACAGTTTGAAGTCATTTTTGAAAGGCAATCGTCTTTTTTTTCTTACATTAAATGAATGAAAATTAAATTATAAGGAATGAAATTAATAGCTACCCAATTTATACGGTATAATGTGGGTTGGAACAGTATACGCTTTTTTATAAACCGCTTCGCGGTTTATAAAGCGTAAACTGCCCCAACCCACTTTATACCGTATAAATTGGGTAGCTATTAAATTCATTCCTGAAATAATCAAGAGAATTTCCACACTAGTTTATCAAATCTTATGCCCTGTTCACACGGAGATTTTAATTCGCAGTAAATTAATGTGAAGTAAAATGATGCGAATTAAACTAATGCGAATTAAATTGCGTTCACACGACAGCTTATGCGAATTATAATTTTATTTCTACAACAAGGCCATTCAGTGAGGCTATTATGACGTCATTTACAAATCACGTCATATTGTGCAGAGCAGGTATACATTTGACATAATGTCATAATGTCTGCACACATTTTAGTGATTAACATAATTTTCATTTGTTTTCCATTCAAAAATAGCACAAGTACCTATATATGACCATCGACATGTGACCTGTGACTTAATTCTGTCCTTACGCATGCGTCAAAATTTAATTCGAATTAGCTTCGCTTAGCGTTCACACGGAGCTAATGCGAGGTAATTTAATGCGCAGTAAACTAATTCGAATTAAACTAATTCGCATTAAATTCTCCGTGTGAACGCGAATCAAATTTAATTCGCAGTAACTTACGTTTAATTTGAATTAAACTCTCCGTGTGAACAGGGCATTAGTATATTTTGTTTCGTTTAAATCTATATGGACTGTAGTTGAAAGTTTCGTAATCGCATTCCTATAGGAGCAGAGGCATAGGAAGCAAGAGGGAAAATTAAGTTTTTAGAACTTCTTGTGCCCAATCCCGTAGTTTATATTTATCTGTTTATTACATAAAATATGTTTAAATCAAATCAGAGGCATCAATAAATAGCATGTTATTTATGTCTCTGCTAAAAATTAAAAAAAAAAATCCTCATACCTATCCTGAGAAAAAGCAAAACACTGAACATAGAAAGCGCCACCGGTGCCACAACCCCCTCCAGAGTCCGCAGTGTTCGCTCCGGGGAGCCTCCCTCTCCCCCTTCCTCTGACGAGACATCGGAGCCACTTCTGCGACGGCAAAGGAACCAATTAAAAATCCCCGTGAAAACGTCCTGCACCGACTTTTTATCCTCTGGCGAAGGTCCGTCGAAACTTTTATATCCCTCTTTCTTAGCTCGGATATCACCAATCACTCTTTCAAGTTCCACAGACATTCTTTTATCTTTGTTCTTTTACCTAAGGAATTGTAGAAATACCAGCATGAGCGATAATCAGCACATGCACGGGCTTTTCGCGACAAATTTTATTTCCGGAGATGAGCAAGGTCGGTTAACGGAAAGCATATCCCGGATGCTGTATCCGTATGTAGTGGTCACCGTCGAGTAAATCCCTTAATGTGTACTATTTGTAGTGAAGCACAGCTTTCTCAGGCACTGTCCGACACATTCGAAGGGTCATGAAGGTCATAGATAACTACATGAATGTGTATAGCTTTAAATCCCAAAAATATGTTGTTCAATAATACAGTTTATGTATACAAGGTATATACATGTATTATTGAGTTTGGTAAACCTGTCACTTGTTTATTCTAATATCGTCTTGAAGTACATTGTGCATATATACATGTATACGAGACCTTAAAAAAGATCTTATTCAAACTTGGATAAAACGTGCAAGTTTTCTCCGACTATTTTAACGCAACAACCATTCCTCATTATATTCTAACATCCACGGTTACTGATTAGAATGTATACATGCAGTTTTCACACGATATGTCATTACTCACATGTACATGTGTAATAAAACATTGCTAAAACAGGAGGCTAATGACCCATAATCCTACCCATGGGGTCATATATTGAACAATCTTGAATCCATTAAACCTTTGCATGCTTGCATTTTTCGACATATTTTTTTGTATAAACGAAAATAATTGAACCCATTTTAATTGTGACACCTCCCTTTTATGCAGAAAACATTTCAACAAAATTGAATATGTATTCACTTTATAATAATACATGTATACTTCGTAGCCTTGTAATTTTAAGAATATTTTTAAAGGTTTTTTTACAATACAGTACATATTTCTAGATCTATATGCATTATTTTGAAGCATTGTAGTTTTTGAGAAAAATATTTTAAAGGAATTTTCCTGTACATTTCTGTATAAAACTTTTCAGCCACTTTGTAGTTCCAATCCCATACGGCTGCCCCAAGGGCCAAGTTTTGAAGAAAAAATCTACACTTTACATGAAATGTTTGCATTTTGCTTTGACAGTTAGAACAATCATCGTCGTTTTTGAGTTTTAAAGATTTTTCTGATATATTTCTAGGGAAACAAGATGTGTTTATGAAACACTGATACCCCCAGTATGGCAGCTCAAGGCCAAGGTCAAAGTTTTTCAAATGTAGGTTAATCTCCAAGGTTAAGGACAAGAGTTCAAAAATGTTGGTAGAGGCGGTAACTGAATGTAAACTAGATGCTGTCATAAGACAGTAGTACCCACACGAAAGTCAAACGTTCAAAAGTTATGACCAAGGTTAAACTTTGGTAAAATTTTGCAAAAGTAGGTCAAACTCCAATGTCAAGAAGTCAAATTAATATGTTGGTACCCCAAGAAAGGTCTTGTCACAAGGAATGCACATATGATATATAAAAGCCCTAGCATAAACCATTCAAATGTTATGGGCAAAGTTAAAGTTTTTTGCGGACAAACAAATTAACAGACATCTAGACGGACAGACTAAACACTATATGCCCTGGATCTTTGATTACGGTGGCATAAAAATCTTAATCCCTTTGTGTTCCTATCCAGATACCATGGCTTGGAAAAAAATACACGACATGGTAATGCTTGGTTATAAATTTGAAGCTAGGTATTTTTGAGGAAGATTACTATATATTCCTATGTAAAACTTTGGACCTCCTTTGTGCACTCATCCCTACCAAAGGGGCAACTTGTATGCACAAAATGTGAGCATGCGTGCACAGAAAGATAATTTGTAGTCTTGCACTTCTTGAGAACAGCTCTATTTAAAATTTGGTAGTCCCATCCTACCTTAAAGGAATTGTTTCAAACAACTTAGAAATCTTCACTTTTGTCATTCTTAGAAAGGTGGTTTTGAGAAGATTTTGATGACCCTATCCTGTTTTGTTTGTTTGTTTTTTTTTTTTTTTGTTTTTGTTTTTTGTTTTTGCAATGAAAAGGAATATGAACTTCAGAAAACAAGACGCTCTTGAGAGTTAGCTGTGGAGTTGTCACAAACATTTACGCAGCATGACAGACCCCGTCGATAACGAACATACATGTACTGTGCTACAAAGAAGTCCTGCCATGTGACATTTGAAACTACTCACATCTACATATAGCTATCAAAACGAGTTATTTCCCATTTTATGTCAGAAGTGAATACACGTGCTTTGTATAGAACCAAAAGGCTCGTTTTGAATAATTACTGTACTTTTTAAAAAGTGTTATACATGTAAATTGACATTTAATTTAACTGAAGGAACTTAATTATTCTCAATATAGAATTTTTCGATTCCGCACAAAAGATTTTCCTCTAATATTCTTCCTCTTAAAGAAAAAAAATCAAGAATTAAAAATAAATTTTTAAAAAAAACCCACCAGTTTTAGATTTCCCT